TCGTATCACCCGTATAAATAGCAGCTTACGTTAGAACGAAAAGGAATCGAATCTATTTAGACTCAGGTCTGTTTGTCGGAGGAAGAAAATCTTGATTTCTCTCTCTCTTCTTCTCTCTTCCTCTCTCTCTCTCTCTCTCTCCCTCCCCCTCTCTCTTTCTCTCTCTCTCTCTCTCTTTCTCTCGCGATTATTTCTACATGAACAACTGTTCTGAAATTTCAAATGCCGACAAATACAACTCATTAAACATTTATTACTCTATCGTATTTTAACATTTATATACCTATTTATTTATATATCTATACTTATTGATCATCTTATTTTATTTTCCTTTAGCTTGTTTAGTATTTAATGTTACGAGTATATATTTCAAACGTCAGGGAAAAACACAATATTAAAATGGTTTCTTAGTAAAGTACCGAAAATTTGAAGTACCTCACCAGGACTCACCTAAAATCACAAACATCTATAATTTGGATAAAATATTAAAACTACGTGTACATCTTAATAAAATAGTACATACGATAGTAAATTAAGAGCTGCAAATTTACCAAACGAAAATAAGGTGACGTTATGTTTACTTTTCGAGATTAAATTTGTATTGCAAGTTTATGCATGTAAATATCTTTCCAAAATTGCCATTGATCTATTATTTTTGTGACCATTACAATTATAAGTTTTTAAACTATTATAATTTCATTTTTTTTTAGAGAAGTCTAGTACAATAATATTTGTGTGCAATTAATCAAAGAAGCATCTCCGACCCTTGCCTGTCATTAAGTTACATGTTAAAAGTTACATTTGTAACATTGTTTTTTCATTTCATCGTTAACTTACCCTAGAATTTTACATACGTCAAATTCAGTATATAAATTAGATATTTCTACAGTAACTCAATTTACTAATAGTAACTCAATTCACTAAAGAATGATCTTAAGGATCCTAAGTCGTTGCGGCCATATTGAATCGTGACATCGTAAGTAAGAAATGACATGTTAAATGTTTCTTTCATGTGATTTGTAAATAAAGAAAATGTAGATGAAATAGAATAATCAGACCGTTTGAAACACTTGTATAATATAAATGGACGGAAAGGTATCTTTACTGCTCTTTTGATAATAAAAAATTGTAAAAGACATGTGAAGTATCTTTTATCACCTTTTAACCGTTTATTGACTGCCACGACCGATAAAAATAGCTTTCATCCATTTTTACTAGTGTTTTAAAATAATTCTACTATTTTGTTCTATCCAAATTCTCTTTATTTACAAATGACACGCAAGAAACTTCATGCAAAGTGTTATTTCTCGTTTATGACGTGACGATCCAATATGCAGCGACTACTCAGGAGCTTTAAACGATCTGAATGGGCTTCCCAATCGGATTTCGACGAACGGTCGAGCCATTCTCATTAATCCTTGCGAAAGCCCCAATCTGTAAGAACAATGGTCATCCATCCCAGACAGTCTCATGAAGGACAAACAAATGTACGGGTAACCGAGAATAACGGGGCTATCTTTTGTACTTCGTAATTGAACGTCGATGTCTTCTGCCGAAGTTTTCGACGGTGTCATCTCAACGAAGGTTAGACAAAACGGACAAGAAACAAAACCGCCGTGAATTTTAAATCTTCCTTGCTATTGTCCGCGAACGAGCTATAGCTTTCGATTATGCGTTGTAATCACGCCACTCTTTTATTTTAAAAACAATGCTCGCAGCTTGTTACAGCGAGCAACAAATACGGCTTTGATATCGCCGATACAATATATCGGCTCGTTATCGATATCACACAGCATAATTAATTAATAATTCTCCCGATATTACCGCGTAATAATGATTTAAAACGAACGCGCGCACAATAGAATGCTTTAACAATCAGTGATGCGTCATTACGATTATAAACATATTAATGAAGCAAACCGTTAACGCGGGATTACCGCTCACGGCGTGAAGGGACGCGCAATGCGTCCGAATTCATGCGCGAGCGCGGTTACGCAGACGCGATATG